TGCAAAAGTAATCCTCTGGAAATGTAGAAACTGGAGTAGAAGCTAGTACATCATCTTCCATCCCTGTAGCTGGCACAAGAGGAACGACTGAAAGAAAGGGGGAATGACTGCAACACGCTTAAGATGTGCCAGTTCCCAGCTGTATTTCTGACCCCTTACTCTTAACAGTCAGCATATGACAGAGTGGCCCAACGCCATCGTAATTTGCACCAGGTGACCAACCCTTCACACAATGGCCGGAGGACTGCAAGAGTGCACAGTTGAGCTTTATGCCCATTTCCATCTCCCTCACAACCTGTGCCGTGTGTATTTCCAGGATCTGACCCATTATGTTTATTGCATAATAGCCTGATTTTTAACACGGTAGATGTAAACTTTAAATGTCAAGATTTACTTGCATAGGGGGTGAGGTGAAGGTAAAGTCAGAGCGCCAGTTGTGGCTGCCTTGGCCCTAGCTGCAGCCCCAATATAAGAGAGAAGCTGTTAGGCTGCTTCATATCTTATGTCAACTTAATAGACACTCTAGTGGCAACGGGTTCCATACCCAGCTCTTGTGAAAGTCTAATCACTTGTGGATATGAGTCTTCCCCTGTTTGTTGACAGTTTTATTTTTTCAGCACATCAAATTTCAAGTGCATATAGTACAAGATACTACCAAGTTGACAAAGAAAAGATCTCTTGTTTTCTCTTACTATAATAGTCCTCTCATGTCTTCTTTTTTAATCTGTTATCCCATCTGTCCTTTGTCTAACTTGTATTGTAATCTCTTTAGAACACACATATAACTTAAAACATGTTTGTAAAACACTATCTATAGCTCTATAGCTATAATTATAGCTCTTCTATGGCTCTGAAAAATTTATAAATGATAATGAAGATTTACTACAGCTAGGGCAGCATTAATAGTAACTGACATTTATATAGCACATTTCGTCTAAATTAATACCAAAGTGTCTCCCATTCAAGAACTGACCTAGTCTGACCCTGCTTTGCTTGTGAGCTGAAGGTGGTATGGCTGCAGATGGACCTATAGAAATCAAAATGTTGACAAGCAATACAAAGTATCAGCAAAGAACCTACAAAACTCTTCCAGTTATGTTTACTTGCATTTGAAGGTCCATGGACAAAAAGATTATGTTATTGAAAAGGCAATTTTTGTTTCTGTGCCCCCCTTCCTCATTTTTAAAAATGAAAAAAAAAATAGCAAAACCACAAATTTAATACTACATATTATGTTACAATACAATTAAGAGTCTGAGTTAAACAAAAAAGACATTATAAGGTAATTCTGAGTCACACTGGATTTAACTCACTGTGTTGTACAAAAGTATGGCAGCACATATGGCATGTAAAATCACCTACTGTTCTGCATCCCTTGTAATACCTATGCACAATAGAGTGACAGTCTTGTAAGTTTAAAATTATTGTAAGATAGTTATTTTTACATTTATACTGTATCAGACTGTAAAACTATATCAATTAAAAAGTAAGTGATACAGTAGTATTATATCAGGGCTGGTACTGACACTACAGAGCAGAACATGGAAGCCAATCTACATGCATGTGGTTAGAACTAGCTGAAGACAGCCACTGGGAAAAGGATGGGGTCCGTCAATTTCCTGTTCTAGACTCCCAAATCAGTGACTCCTTCCTCCTCTTTCCAGGGTTTGACAAGAACTACTGTCTAATCACTTTGCTAGGAAAAGCTGACCAGAGCTATTTTTAGCTCAGGAAGAGGGAGCAGATCTGTGATCACAGGACCTCATCTGTTCTGTCTTCATTCCCTTTTCCTGGGACCACAGCACTGATAACAGACAGAAGAGATCCCTGTGAAGTAAGTCAGAGTAGGCATCTCTCTAACAGTTTTTGGGTCCCCAAGCTGAGGAAAGGAGAGACAGGGATTTACTCCGAGAGGAAGATAAGTGAGGGAAACTGTTCCTCTTCCTCCCCCTTAGGAACAGAGGACAGAAAGAGCTTAAGTAATGCAGAGAGGTAGGACTTCAGGGAAACTGGAAAGGGGCACAGAGGAGAGACACTGGTGTACTGAAGATAAAGGAGGGAAACTGCCTCCACTCCATATGTTCTGGCTAGAAAAGACATCCTGTGGCTTTGTACATCTTACTTTGCAGAGTCCTGCCAAACCTAAGTTCATCCCTGATCCTATCAATAATTAGCAAAGATGTGCACTTATACTAATTATCTTTTAAAAAATTCAAATAACTGTTAAAGATGCTGTGCTTGTTGATAAAGCAGTTCTTAAATGCAGAATAAGGTCATTTACAACTTATTTTAAACAAATATTATGCATATATAAAATGGAGTATTTCACACCGTTCAAGTTTTGTTTCTGTATCAATCCGAGTATTTTCTGTTACATTTTCTACTGCATCAGAATGCACTCTTGACTATACCTTCATTTCATGTCTAAATATGTATATTTGGAGTAGCAGTTTCTCTCATTTAGGGTGTGCATGCACCTTTGGTTAATAAACGTATAAAAATATAATGGGATTTGCTCAAGTGAAATTTTATATTCTGCAGTCACATGGCCCTGTTCTAGGGTCAAATACAGTATAGTAATGTATTTTTATTTTGTCCTATAATCACAATATTAACTTAAAATAAAGACTCTTTTACATATTACAATCATATTGCTAACAAGACTTTTTTTGTTTTCAGAACATCTCTGCCACATAGCCAAATAAAAATTGCATCTCTCTCTCTCTCTCTCTCTCTCACACACACACACACACACACACACACACACACATGTATGTAAGGGATAAAATCACCTTGGTAATTTTGCCGTCAGAATTTCTAGATATTTTTCCCAACATCTTGGCAAAATTATGCATTTTAAAAAGACTGCAGGCATTCAAATGATTGTCAGTCATGCAAATAATCACTTACTTACACTGTATGAGTTTGGTCTGGATAAAGCAAATTACCATTTGAAAATAACTCAAAAAACACTCTGGGCTAAGAGCTTGCTTTATGAATCTTAGCCTGGCCACAATATTTCTTAACCTTTTTCTCTTCAATCTCCATTCATCTAGATTTCACTGTAATAATACAGTCTAAATTAATAAACTGTATTCAGTTGCCATGGGTGCATTCAACATTATTTAAAACATAATCTTGTAAAGAAATGGCAAATAGTGGATGCAGATAAAGCCCCCAAACCCAAGAACTTTATTCAAAGTTATGGAAAAGTTTATTTTAATGCTCCTGTCTTTTATGATGATATTGGTTTTTGTCCAGACAGCATAATTATAACTCATTTCTAAATATAGTATTTAAATGAAAATTAAAATATATATCAGCAGGTTCTATTCATATAAAAATGGAATGGATTTTTAAAACTGTGTTTTTCTATAGGCATGTCAACAAACTATGAGTTGTGTGTGCATACAGTTATGTGCACATGCATAATAATATTTATAGACATTGCTGAAATTCTAGCCTTTAGATTCAATTTCAAATGTAACATCTGTAATGTAAGAAAGCTGCCATTCCTCAGAAAGACAAGACTCAATAAAAATTAAAATTATTAATTAAAAATAATGTACATTAAAAGTTAATGTAATCTGTAACAATATATTTATTATGCCTGCATACCCAAGGTCAGGCACCCATAGTGGGATTTTTAAAAATACTTAAAGGATTTAGGAGCAGAAATCCCATTGAAAATGCCCTAATTTTCAAAGGTGCTAAGCACCCACAGCTCTCAATGGCACTCCAGAAAATCAGGCCACAGCAATGTAAGTGCCTAAATTTGGGTTCAAAGGCTTAACTTTAGGCATCCATGTTTACAAATCTTGGTGTAGTGCTTTAGAATCCTGCTATCCTTTCTAAGCCTTAAAACAAATCTATACATGTTAACAAAATTTGCTAACCTAGTCTTAGTATTAAATGACTCTTCCTTAGCGAAACCTTCCACAAATAGACAAATCCTTTGAAATTATTTGTAATGTGCTAGCTGGTCCATGTTGAAGGTTTAAGGTGTGAATATTTAAACAGAATGGAACTTGAAATAAAATCAAACCCCAAACTCCTGCATAGCCATTTAAGTTTCATTACACTGTTTCCCATCCTTATCAGCAAAAATGCAGAACCCCCTTCATGTTATTTTTAGGAGCATAGTACAGTTTTGCAAACTGATTATCTCTAGCTAGTGTAAGCCCCATTGAAGCAAAGCTCCTGTTGAGGAGGAGAGTTCCTTCTGATAGAAAAAAAAACAATTGTGTTAGGTTTAATCAGAAGTTAAAAGAATCTACAGAATGTTCCCTTTGAGCCACATAACACAACCCTTTGCTAATTTCAAGATGGGTTCTGCAGTAAGGGTAATAAAAAATGTCCTTTGTACTAACTGAGGTAGAGTGAAGAGCTACTATAACTGCAGTTAACACCAAAATTATGCAAGTCTGATCTACATTAATGAAGTTCTTTTCACCTACCTGTAAGCAATAAAACACAGAGGTGGGGAAGGGAAATCCCACTACAGCATACCTAAGAAAATATAGTTTCTCAATCACAGATTAATCACTGTCACTATTCTCTGGATTTTTTTTTCTCCTTCTCAACACAAACACTTATATAGGTTTGAATAAAGAGAGTAGACGGCTTTTCCAAATGAAACAACCTAATAAATTACCATTGGTGAATTATCTAGTCAAATAATGTCTTCTATCTTTGCCAAAAATAAGTAGTTTCTCCTTAACATCAAACTATCCTTCTATGACACGTACTAACTATTGACCTGCTTGGCAAACCTCCTATTGATTTCATTGGTGCAGTATCAGGTCCTAATGTGAGTACCATTAGGTTATTGAAATACTTTTGTAAATGAATGGATTTTGCAGCACAGTGACATAGAACCAAATTCCCTAATTAACAATGCTTGAACTAATCAGTTAAAATTTAGCAGCAAGGGCTATCAGTTTAGATAGATTTGAAACAAGTTATGACATAATATGGAGAATGGAGTCAAATGTACTGACCTGCTCACATCAGGAAACCTGATTGGAAAGTGAAGAACTTGGCACTTTGGTCTGATTATTTTTTCCAGATCCTTAGGCCTGTGGTCAGGAATCAGCTTCAGAAATTTTCCGATAGATGTAAGAAATGATTCCATATTGAAAGCAGAGTTGAACACTACAATATCAGCAACCAAACTGTAAAATATAGCTAGAATTAATGCAATGTTCTTTAAGAAAAATCAGAATTACTTTAAAGCCAGACTAATGTAGGATAAATATTGTGACACTAACTGGCAAAGCAAGAAATCCAAATTAAAGGTTGGGATTCCATCATATCAGATGAATAAGAGAAAGTGTCAGCCTCAGTTTAAATGTATTGGTTTCTGTCCATATGTTTCATCTTTTAAACATTATTTAACAATTTTTATTAAAAACATCTTTTAAAAATTGAATTATAAATGTTTATTATTATTAAATTGAAGGATCACAGCCATTCTGATATTTTGAGAAAATCCACTTTTATACGTGGGTCAATTTTTTCTCATTAGATTGTAAGAATACTTTTGCTGCTATTAGCACTTATCATGAAAAAATACATTAAACAAACTATAGTAGAATCCCCCACAACCCTTTTTGCCCCTGAATAGTTCAGAGACATCTAAAACTTAAGTTAAACTGGGAAAAAGAAGATAAAATTGCTCAGCGCACATACCTACTGAGACACATAACCTACCTTTGGTTAACCAAGAATTTCAGTTAACTGGAACACAGATAAATAAATGTCACCCTGATTCAAAATATTTGATATCTTGGAAATTTTTATAAAACAATAAACATATAAAAAGTCATAACATGATAGATTAATCAATCACGTATATATTTTTAAAAAATCATTAAGATGTAATTTTGGTACATTAGCAGAAGATAGGACATGACACCAGAAAACATTTTGTCCCTCAATGTTACCTCTTAAAAACAGTAGAACCAATATTTTTGCAATTTTGTTAAATTATGTGTGTGTGATTTCCTTGCTAAGGTTTTCAGTCTGGAGAAAAGGAAAAAGTATCAAACAATGAAAAATTGGGAAGTTTATCTGGAAGTGCTGACACAATCTTAACTATGTTGGCACAAATGTAATATTATAACAAAGTTAAATATTAATATAAAAATTAAGTTTATGGCTAGTAGATATTCTCAGTATGTCATATTGTAATACTGACCTATAGGCCCTAAGATACATTGAGGACATGTGTTCATAAGTCACTGGACTGGTGAAAAGTATATTTGAAGTGAAAACCTGTCATTCATCCTCACAACTCATGCTGCTGTCTGGCCAAGAAAGAAAATGGACAATGCTCATAAAAGCAGTAGGAGTCAGCAGGAAAAGCAAGGAAACATTTGAGAGAGAAATAATCCTTTTTAACTAGACTATTAGAGTTGAACTACTTTTTAAAATCTCCTATTCCTCTCCACCTATGATTTTTTGCCATTTGTTTTTTTCAAGTTAAAACAACTAGTGAGTCAGCCCACCTCTTTGAATAGACTTATAATTGACATTCAAAACAAAAACTTTCCCCCATTAAGGCCTGCAAATTTGTATCTCTGCTTGTTTTGTACATTAAAAATACTAGGTCTTATCTACTCTGGTTTTTGCTGGAGGTTTTAAGTGTGACTGGCAAACTGGAGGGATCCTATCATCACAAGGAACTGAAAAAAGCAACAAAGTGTCCTGTGACACCTTATAGGCTAACAGAAGTATTGGAGCATAAGCTTTCGTGGGTGAATACCCACTTCGTCAGACGCATGTGGTAGAAATTTCCAGAGGCAGGTATAAATATGCAGGCCAGAATCCTAAGGATTAAACAAAGACTGTGAATGGCTAGCCAACTACAAAAGCAGTTTCTCCTCCCTTGGTTTTCACACCTCAACTGCTAGAAGAGGGCCTCATCCTCCCTGATTGAACTGACCTCATTATCTCCAGACTGATTCTGGCCTGCATATTTATACCTGCCTCTGGAAATTTCCACCACATGCATCTGACGAAGACCTTAGTCTATAAGGTGCTATATTGTTGCTTTTTACAGATCCAGACTAACACGGGGACCCCTCTGATAAGAAACTGAAACCTGAGCAACTAAAAGGGAAGGAATATTAGTCATACTATTTAAACTTTGTCAACACCTATGTAACAAACTCCTGACAAACACTTGGGAGAAAAGCTCTCTTTCCTAAAGATTAACACCACAAAACAGACTTGAGAAAGCTCCCAGCCCAATTATCTTGTCCTCCAAGAAGTCTTTGAACAAAAACAGAAGACAAGACCTAGCGTTCCTGATATTTCTAAGGTTAAAAAAAAAACAGAAAAAAAACTTAAAATATTAAAAACTTCAGACCTTCTCAAATATAATATAGAAGGGGGAAAAAACCCACAACATTATTATTCCTTTACAGGTTACTGCTAATAGACAGAAACAATGCAGCTAAAATATAAACAAGATTTGTTCTCTTTTACCATTAATAAATGTCCACTTGCAGAGCCAAAAAAATGTTCAAAGTATGTACATTATGCATTTACATTTATGTACAGAGGCAACTCTAGACTAAAGAAAACATGGAAGCAAGCATTCTTAGAGGTCTTTTCCTAATTAAGAAAAAGGTCCTGTAATATAAAAACTCAGAAAAATACAGCATTTACAATACTGAAAGAAGTTAAAATACTTCTTTTTTAGATATTTCCTTCTTCAGCTTCACCACCCAACACCATAGTTTTAGATCATTAAATTTCAAAATGGCTGCTACTGTTTTCAAAATACATTCCAAGTACTGTACAGCCATTTCACTACATTTTCACAGCATTGCTTCTTAATAACTGAAGCATCTTGCAAATGCAAAGACAGAAACAGATCTAGAAAATGCTCTGTATATATGAAGATTATCATTTGGGAAATCTGAATATTAACTAGCACATTTTACAAAGATGCCAATATTTTATATGTATTTAAAAATATTCAATCTATGCTTCTAATAAGTCTCCTAATAACAAATAGGTGAGATAGATCAACCAAATGAATTTATTTCAATTCAAACCAATTCAGCTTTGCAGATTCACTTAGGTTTGTGCAGTGTCTAATCCCAAAGCTTTTCAGTGTGCTGTTATTAACTTCTTTCATTAACTTAGATTCAGGAAATACATTTGTTTTAAGTAACAATAAAGGACCACAGCCTTTAAAACGTCTGGGTATTTTAGCACTGCACAATTTCTGAATACCAAAAAAAAAAAAAAAAAAAGAAATTAAGGATTTATCTGATATGTTTACTGCTCTCACTCCTTTAAGACAAACAAACAAAACTGCTGCATTATGTTTTAATTTTTGTTTATTTCCCTGAAAACTCCTATTTTAATTCAGTTGGATGCATTAAAATCTATAGCTCAGCAAGAGCTGATTAACTGCCTCTCTGCTAAGTGTACTTGAGCTACAGCATCTTGTTTGCGATGAATAGGTATAAATTGAAAATTAGCACAATTTACAGGTGTAGCATGGTAGTCCTTTAGCACACAGGTAGACTTGAACAATAGCTTGAGATGAGGAGTACTTTACTTGTTTCTGCCAAAGCACTTGACTTAGCACCTCTTTGGGACTGTATTTGTATCTCAGTTTGTAACAGTGTTGTTGTTTAAGTAGCGCAGGACTCCCCAGGTTTAAAAATGCTTAAAAGATGCCATTAATTAACACATAATGGTATGAGAAACACCTACCATGAAAGAATCTGGTTGTATCCATATTGGAAATCTCTTTCCTGGCACTTCTGTACAGGATATGCCAACTGGTTCTCATGGAAGTAAAGGACCTTTTTCAATTTGCCAAGGTCAGGCCGAAGGGCAATAAGTTCAGTCAGGTTAAGCACTGAGCTTGCAAAGAGGATCCTAAGAAACAAGGAAAGTAGTGTTTACTGTCTGTGAGCATGCTCAAAAGGGTCACCCTTTACCCTTCCTCTCTGCCTATCCCTCACAAGAAATACATAACCCCTATAGGGACACATCAATAGCTAAGCCTTAATACCATGTAGCAGCATTCTAAGTTTTGATCTCTTAAAAAGCAGCTGCTAAGAACTCAGCTAGAAAAGCATTGAATCTCATTGGTCTTCTCAGCTCAGTTACAGAGAAATGCAAAATAAAAAAGCTGGATGGATTTTATTGAAAAAGGCAAGAAAAGCTGTATCTGAAGGACAAATGGAACAAAGATAAGGCTGACTAGGGAATACTTTGCTTGCCAGTTTCATTACACTTTACTTCTTTATGCAACCAACTACTGAAATTCAATATATGAGCAGGAATGGCACATGTTCATGTTATGACATAAACCCTTTTGATTTATGCAGTATACTTATCTGGTGTGGTCTTTTTCTCACTCTCTCCATCTCTTTTCCCATTTTTATTAAGCATCCTACATAACATTTTTTGTTGTTTTGTTCCCTGCTCCCCAATACTGCCATAGTACAGTTACCATTTTATAGTCCATAAAATTGTTCATACCCTTCAAATTATATATAACTCAAGCCCAAAGAAAATTAGCACACTGATTTCTTGCCCTTGATATAACTTAACAATCAATCAGAAAGTTAACTTACCTAAATGAGTAG